TCCAATTTGCCAGTCTGTGTCTTTTGATTGGTGCATTTAGTCCATTTACATTTAGGGTTAATATTGTTATGTGTGAATTTGATACTGCCATTTTGAGGCTAGCTGGCTGTTTTGCCTGTTAGTTGTTGTAGATTCTTCATTATGTTGAAGCTCTTTAGCATTCAGTGTGATTTTGGAATGGCTGGTACTGATTGATCCTTTCTATGTGTAGTGCCTCTTTTAGGAGCTCTTGTAAAGCAGGCCTGGTGGTGACAAAATCTCTGAGTACTTGCTTGTTCGCAAAGGATTTTATTCTTCCTTCACTTCTGAAGCTCAGTTTGGCTGGATATGAAATTCTGGGTTGAAAGTTCTTTTCTTTAAGAATGTTGAATATTGGCCCCCACTCTCTTCTGGCTTGTAGTGTTTCTGCCGAGAGATCTGCTGTGAGTCTGATGGGCTTCCCTTTGTGGGTGACCCGACCTTTCTCTCTGGCTGCCCTTAGTATTCTCTCCTTTATTTCAACCCTGTTGAATCTGACGATTATGTGCCTTGGGGTTGCTCTTCTTGCGGAATATCTTTGTGGTGTTCTCTGTATTTCCTGCAATTGAGTGTTGGCTTGTCTTGCTAGGTGGGGGAAATTTTCCTGGATGATGTCCTGAAGAGTATTTTCCAGCTGGGATTCATTCTCTTCGTCCCCTTCTGGTACACCTATCAAACGTAGGTTAGGTCTTTTCACATAGTCCCACGTTTCTTGGAGACTTTGTTCATTCCTTTTTGCGCTTTTTTCTCTGATCTTGGTTTCTCATTTTATTTCATTGAGTTGGTCTTCGACTTCAGATATTCTTTCTTCTGCTTGGTCAATTCGGCTATTGAAACTTGCGTTTGCTTCGCGAAGTTCTCGTATTGTGTTTTTCAGCTCCTTTAATTCATTCATATTCCTCTCTAAGGTATCCATTCTTGTTATCATTTCCTCGAATCTTTTTTCAAATCTTTTTTCAAGGTTCTTAGTTTCTTTGCATTGATTTAATACATGATCTTTTAGCTCACAAAAGTTTCTCATTATCCATCTTCTGAAGTCTAATTCCGTCATTTCGTCACAGTCATTCTCCGTCCAGCTTTGTTCCCTTGCTGGTGAGGAGTTTTGGTCCTTTCTAGGAGGCGATGTGTTCTGGTTTCGGGTGTTTTCCTCCTTTTTGCGCTGGTTTCTTCCCATCTTTGTGGATTTGTCCGCTGGTCGTCTGCGTAGTTGCTGACTTTTCGTTTGGGTCTCTGAGTGGACACCCAGAATGTTGATGATGAAGTATTTCTGTTGCTTGGTTTTCCTTCTACCAGTCTAGCCCCTTCACTGTACGACTGTTGAGGTCTGCTCCAGACCCTGCTTGTCTGGGGTGCACCTCTAGTAGCCGTGGCACAGCGAGGGATGCTACCAGTTTCTTTTTCTGCTCTCTTTGTCCCAGGATGATGCCTGCCTAATGACAGTCTTTTGGATATATAGGGGTCAGGGAGCTGCTTGAGGAGACAGTTTGTACTTTATAGGGGTTTAATTGCTGAGCTGTGCACTCTGTTGTTCATTCAGGGCTGTTAGGCTGCTATGTTTGATTCTGCTGCAACACAGCTCATTAAACAACCCTTTTTTTTTTCTCAAATGCTCTGTGTTGAGGGGTTTGGTCTTTATTTTTGGATGTCCGATCAGGTGTCCTGCCCAGCTCAAAGGCAGCCTAGCCACTGTTTGGCTGCCGAGGCTCCGCCCTGCTGTTGTGTGATTCGCGCTGTTCCTGCCGGCTCTGCTGTGGTCTCCGCCACGCCCTGCGGCGGAGTCTCTTCGTTGTAGCGTGTTGCCTCAGCAACGGCAGGCTGCGTCAGCAGTGGGCGTGTATCTCAGTAGGGACGGGTTGCCTCGGCAACGGCTGGCTGCGTCAGCAGTGGGCGTGTATCTCAGTTGGGGCGGGTTGCCTCGGCAACGGCTGGCTGCCTCAGCAGTGGGCGTGTATATCAGTTGGGGCAGGTTGCCTCCGTAGTGGTGGACGCCCCTCCCCCACAGAGCGTCTCGGACCGTCTGCCCGGGATAGTTTGAAATCGCGGTTTTGTTCGTCCCACTGGGTATCCCAAACGATCTGTCCCTGCAATCCCCTGGGCTGGGCTACTGTGCAAGTCTCGTTCAGTCTCAAGTCCAGCCCTCTCAAGTCTCAGGTTGCCGGTTCAACAAGGCACCCGGACAAGCGCGCCCTGTGGGGATTGCTGGGTAGGGCCGGCCGCCGCCGCCCCGGCTGCCGGCTTCGCCAGGCAGACCTACTGCCTGGCGTCCCGTGTCTTTTTATACTTGGGAGTTTCCCCGTTCTGTGGGCAACAAAGATCAGTCTGGAAATGCAGCACTGACTCACCGTTTGCGAATTCAACGCGGGCTCCAATCCTGGGTTGTTCTCACAGCGCCATCTTGAGTCTTTTTTTTTTTTTTTTTGAGACGGAGTTTCGCTCTTGTTACACCCAGGCTGGAGTGCAATGGCCCCATCTCGGCTCACCACAATCTCCACCTCCTGGGCTCAGGCAATTCTCCTGCCTCAGCCTCCTGAGTAGCTGGGATTACAGGCACGCGCCACCATGCCCAGCTAATTTTTTGTATTTTTAGTGGAGACGGGGTTTCGCAATGTTGACCAGGATGGTGTTGATCTCTTGACCTCGTGATCCACCCGCCTCGGCCTCCCAAAGTGCTGGGATTACAGGCATGAGCCACCACGCTCAGCCGCTTGTTTTACATAATTATATATTCCAAGTACTTAAACAGAAACTGGCACACAGTAGTTATCTAATTGATACTTGAATGACTAGATGAAAATAGAATAGATGAGGATTTTTTAAAATCCTGCTCAGAACTGGATATGTTCCTTGCATCTTTGGACTGGGACTTGTCTTTTTCATCTGTGCAAAATTCTCAACTCTTATCTGTTAAAATACAACCTTACCTCCATCCCTTCCATTCTCTCGTTCTGGAATTCCTTTTAGAATATGTTGAACCAATCATGCTATCCTCAATGTCTCCTAAGTTCTTTCTCATATTTGACAACTATTTAGCTCTGTGTTTTATTCTACAGCAATTTCCTCTACTCTATTATTAAGTCCCTTTTTAGCTGCATCTAGTCTACTATTCAACCATTAATTGAATTTCTATTTCAATGACAATATTTTTGTATGTGCCTACAATGCCTGTTTCTTTTCTTTTTCTTTCTTCTTTTCCATTTGTTCATGTATTTGTTTCTGGCTTCTAATCTTCCCTTTCAATATTTTGAATATCCTTATATTATGATTTCTTTCAGATTTTTCTGTTCTTTCTAGTTGTTGGGGGGTGTGGAGCCTCCATTTCTTTAACTAGCTGGCTTCCTTGTTGTGGATCTTTTCTTTGTGCCGTCTGTAATGTTTGATTGTAAGTGGTAGTTCTGCATTAGCCTCTGCTAGGGTCTTATGGGTCAGCAACTGAAAAGGCTCCCAATAGACATCACTGAATGGCCTGTCTTTAGAGGGTAGGATGGGAGGCAGTACATTGTGGAAGGGGCAGTACAACCTCTTTCTTTTGGAAATTGTCCAGTCTTGGGTATGCTAGAGAATGTGCCCTAAGTTCACACCCGTGCTGTGAAACCATTTATGTAACCTTGGGTAAATTACTCTTCCAGTCCTATATTTTTTTGGTCTGTGATATAGAGACAATAATTCCTACTTTCTAGAGATGTTATGAAGAATTGGTGAGTTAATATAAGAAACTTGGCACGATGTTTTACATGTAGTAAGTGCTTAATAGATGTTAAAATTACTATAAATATGTGGTAGCTATTATAGCACTTGCCAACATCATCTCCTTGCTGTGTGCTATAAGGAAAGAACTTAATACTTAAGAAAATAGCTTCTGAATATGTATGAAATATGTAGCCAGCCATTACACGTGGACAATGGTCATATCTGTTTGCTTTATTTGTGATGAATATTAGTTAAAGATGGAGACAAAAGCTCTCTCAGGAACATGTTCACTAGGCTTTTAGCCATTGCTAAGGAGGACTGATGAGAGGCAGAAGAAAGCTTTGGACATTTTCCTTTTTCAAAAATAAAGCCTAATTAGGGAGTTGGATCATTTGCCAACTATTTTGGTTCATTAAAACATAGCAGCAGAGAGAGTTCTTCTGTTGAGAGGAAAATGACCCAGATAAATGTCTTCAGTTTTATTCAAAGAGAAAATATACTTAACTTCATGGCTATGCATTCCTTGGTCATCATTCCCTTCCACAGGTTAGTGATATGGCTTGGCTCTGTGTCCCCACCCAAATCTCATCTTGTACCTCCCAAAACTCCCATATGTTGCAGGAAGGACCTGGTGGGAGTTGACTGCATCATGGGGGCTGATATTTCCTGTGCTGTTCTGATAGTGAATGGATCTCACAAGATCTGATGGTTTTAAAACTCTCAGAGAGAGTTTCCCTGCACAAGCTCTCCCTTTGCCTGCTGCCATCCATATATGACATGACTTGCTCCTCCTTGCCTTCTTCCATGATTGTGAGGCCTCCCCAGTCACGTAGAACTGTGAGTTCTTCATTAAACCTCTTTCTTTTGTAAATTGCCCAGTCTTGGGTATGTCTTTATCAGCAGTGAGAAAATGGACTGATACAGTTAGCAATAAAATAGCAGAGCCCAGAACCTGTAGCAGATGCTCCGTAAATATTATTAGTTTAGTAGTGGAAAGGGATAGAGACACAGGCAAATTCTTGGGCAAGAGAACCTCACTTCTATCCCATGTTAACTTTCGACCACAGAGTTTTCCTTATTTCACTGCTGTTTTGGATCTTTGGATGAGGGAGTGCCAAAGAGTCAAACTTAGTGTATAAAAGCTGTAGACTGCTGTAATTTATCATGTAATATGTTATTAGTTATCTGTATATATTTTACAAAATGAGTTTTTATAATTCAAATTTTCATAAAACATTTATAAAGATTCAACTTAAAAACATTTAAATAGAGTACTGTTTTTAGATTTTAATTACCTGATCTTCATAATCAGATCCTGTATCGATGATTTCTCCAGTGTCCAATATCATCGAAGGATCAAGGTCACTTGAACCTAAAATTACGAAAGAAAAGACTAGTGGATGGAGGTTGTTGGTGTATGTTTTTAAAGCAAACAATCTCTCACTAGATTCCTATATTTTCCTATGCTACATTAAATTCAGAAACTTTTCTGTACTCTTCTCATCTGCCAGCTACAATGTTTTGCTGAAGATTGAAAGTGCAGTGACTCTGGATACTGTCTGCACCCTTAAGAAGAAGAAAATATTGTGAGGGAGAATCAACAAGAGGTTGATTAAAGGTTAAGCAACCCAAGAGAGTGAGCTACTAATAATGACTAGTAGTGGAGGTGATGATAGAGTTAGGATCCTTCACGAGGATCTATGATCCTGAACTCTGAGAGTGAATACAGGTTGTCCAGGAGGGGGAGCAGTTTCAGGATTTGCAATAATAATGGAGGTAGAAAGTAGGGTCCAGCCGTACAGGGTCCTGTGAGCCCCTCCCTACTGGTATGGAGATGAGAAACTGTGGAAATAAAGACACAAGACACAAAGATAGAGAAAAGAAAGTTTGGGCCCAGGGGTCTACTGCCAACCAAAATTTGGAGTCCAGCAGTGGCCCAGAGTGCCTGGACACTCTGACTTTTATTGAGTACAAAACAGGAGGAAGGGTAGGTAGGGAGAGGTGATGATGGTCAATGATACAGTCAGGTAAATCTCATGTCTTGGAGACAGGGGCTCAGGATTTTCAAGAAGCCGAGGCAAGGAGAAAACCTAAGGCATCATTGCGTTTTTCATATTTGTCAAGAAATAACAAGGTCACTAAGATTTATGTTACAATTACTAATTCTTATCTTTTAAGAAAGAGAGGAACCAGGTACAGAAGCACAACATGAAAGTAGACAGGAACGTGACCGCTGAAGCACAGCATCACAAAGAGACAATTAAGCCCCCAGATGTCTATGGGCCTCCCTGACAGCTACCAGGCCTACTACAAGAGCTTGGAAGAGCAGCGTTTTCTTCTAACTCCCCCAAGGAAGGAGACATCTTGGCCATCTTGGACGTCTCCTTCCCTAGCTGGCTAAACAGCGGGTGCTTTCACAGCGCTGGTGCTGCCGCACAGCCGAGGCATCCTCCAGCAGCCCTTATGCGAGTGTGACAGAGGACTTAGAGCATCTTGCCTTAGGGTCCCCTCTTTTTCCAATGCCACCTCAGTCCCGTACTTCTTGACCTGAGACATATGAGTAAGATTAAAGACTATATGATTATATATGTGTATATATTTATGATTACATGTGAATAACTATGTGATTATCTATGATTATATATAGGAATAACTATGCAACTATATCTCTAATTCTTTTCTAATTCTATATTTATATGAGAGCAGACTGAGGCCTCAGCTTCTGTGGGGTTTCCCCCACACAGTAGAAGGAACTCCATGAGCAAAGTACAGAGTGGGAGGAGAGTAAGGGGTTTCCAGAAATAGGAAGGGCTGAGTTTGCTTACTCCATGAAAACTCTAGTTTTTCTTCAAGGCTTCGGGTCACCTTAGTTGCTGAAGGTGAGAAAAATCAGGGTAACTTAATGTATGAAGAAAGAGATTATTTCCCTTAGGTACTACAGGTTTCATTAAATCACTTACCCATGAATCCCCAAGGCTCAGACTTCAACTGGTAATTTTTACAATGAGATTTCTGAAGCATAACTGATTCATCATTCTCATTTAATAACTCTTTCCTGCTAGGAAATATATATCATCTAACTAGCCAGAAAGACTGAATTCAGTGCTGCCCATAAAATATATATCCTGTGAAGAAACAAACCATCCTATGTTTCACTGTAAACTTGGCCTTGGCAAATAATTCTTAGTCAAAATATACAATGAGTAATGCATAATGAAGATGAATTTTTAAAAAACGTCATGCATCTCAAACATTTCTCAGATATAGACATGTCCCTGATGTTGCTTTCATATTTTCTTTCGAAATGAGTTGGGGTATGTCCTCACACAGTCTTTTCTTATCTCTTTTCTTTTTTCCCCTTCTCTTCTCTTATCATTGTCCCTGTTGTCTTCTGACTTGACAAATAGCCATTAGTAAGTTGATTAAGTTCTAAGCAGTAAAACCAGTGTTTACTGTGCTTAATTTTTTTTATAAAGAATGACAAAGTTTTTCAAAATGGACATATTAAAATGTGAAGCCATTTTGGAAAAATAATCACAGAGTTGCCACGAAGAGTTGCATAAGTGTGTTCAGAACAACCCTGGGTGATGCTAGTCATGTCGCAGCACAGCCCTTGCCAGACCACTGCTTAGAAGGTGGTTGCTAGAATGGAGTTGGCAAGAATACACACCATGCTATTAGCAGAGATTAGAGGGGAGAGGTGGGAAGCTTTAATTTACATATATAATTTTAAATTAGTGGGATTATATATAATTTTTCTACCTTTCTACTTTTGGTATTTGTTTCAAATAAAGAATTTTGTAAGGTATGTCTTGAGGCCAAAATACTTGACTGTGTTAAAGCGCAGTTTGAAGGTCAGTTTGCATTCTGTTGTGAGGCAGTAAGTATCAGAAATAACAAATATGTATATTTTTCCATTATAAGATAATAGACATTTTAGAACTGTCAGGTCGGTACAAAAGAAATTGTGGTTTTTGCCATGACTTTCAATGTCTATTTCACAGGATCCCACTTCTCATTTTAGAAAAGAGGAAAATGAGATGCAGAAAAGTTAAAAAAAAAATCTTGGTCATGTAGAAAGTGCCTGAGACCAAAGGCAGAACCAGTAGCCCCTACTTCTCTTTCTAACAAGCACGCTGACTCCAGATTCTAAGCAGGGGCAATCTACATGGGTTTACTCAGACTCTCTTTCGCTGCAGTGCTGTACAGGAAAGGACCTGGGGAGCATACTGTTAAGTCCATGTGCTGAGAAAATGAGGAACAGTAAGTGGTTGATGATCACACAGGTCACAGGGGTGGCTGCAGAAATGAAACAATCAGAAGTGGAATTAAGGAGTCTCTTTCAAGCTGGTAACAATCAATGCTCCTTTCTAGGAAGCTGCTATTGACAGCATCATTAAAGATAACACAAATTTTACTTACTTTCATTACCTCCACAATATGATGATCATCTGTCACTGACTAGTGGAAGTTGTGATAGCTACTTGGATTCAAATGATACCCTCGCTTCACCTGTATTTAGAGTGATTCATGTGGAGTGAGTACTCTGATTTGAACACGAAATCTTCTTAAACATATAGCTGCTTTTAGTACCTGTGTCCTACTTACTTGGTTTAGTTAGAAACTGTTCTTTCAGTTGTTTTCGAAAGAACAACATGAAGCGCTCTTAAACAACTCAGTTAATGGATATTACACGTTAATATTTGAAAACAGAGCGAGATAATTAAAAAACCATCTTCAGCAATGGTAGAATGAAAAGAACTTTGTTTAAAAGAAAGAGTGATTGGATTTCCTAATAAAATGCTTTTGTTTTTTTTGATGGAGTCTCGCTCTGTCGAAATAAAATGCTCTTAACAGAAATTTTATTGTATCATTAGGGATGAAATTTCTTGAAACATTGTTGCTCCTAGCAACAGTATTAATATATCATAGGAGGCAACAGACAAAGGATATGTTATCAGCTTGGATAATGATTGAATGGCTTTCATTTTCTTTTAGCATTGGTTTCTTGGTTTGCTGAAAATGGGAACTTTAATAACAGTCTAAGGTTTGACACACAAAATAGAGAGGAAAATATAGACAAATGTACACATTACTGCCTTCTTTCGTTGGATAATTTAACACATAAAGCAACTGTAATGATCTTGTTACTCAAAAAAGACAGCAAAATTAGGATGTTATGAAAAGCGGATAGTATGGCTTTCATTTCCCTGATTTTGAATTTTTCAATTTCTTTTCAGATTTAAAAATATTCTTTCTATAGATGACAGAGAAAGGTATGAACTGAAATACAGAACCCCACAAAAAACACCCAGTGCTACTAGTTCAACTGGCTTTGGAGGTACCAGAGGCTAACCATATTACTTTCTGGGACAAGGTTACAGATGTTTTTCCTCCTAGTGGATCTTTAAGTCAAAGTTTTAGGAAAATCTTCTTCCCACTTTGAGTACCCAATAAAGACACTCTTAAAATCGCAGGGCTTCCTGAGCAGGGAAGAGTGTCTGTAAATGAAACTCCTCCAACCCTTAAACTGCCCTCTCTAAGGAAAGCAGTTTCTCCCTTGTCCTGTCTCAAGGGGTGGCTTACAGTGTAATTTTAATTAAACTATAAACTTTTAATTTACAGTTTCATTAAAATTACAGTGTAAGGGTTGTTTCATCTCTGAATCTAAGAACAAAACTTAGAAGGTATATGTGTTCAATGTGTATGTACCAAATGACTGAAAGTGAAAAGGACACTTCCACTTTACCTTTACAGTTCTTGCTCATTGATCCACACTACAAATATTAAATGTCTCCTGTAAGTGCCTGCCCTGTATTAAGCACTGAGAATCGAGCTTGAATTCCACTGGCATGGAAAGTGTGCATTACAAGGTGTAGGAAGAGCACTGTATTTACTTGGAAAAATATTCTGACAGTATTTGGGACTAGAACTCTTTGAGGGATCTGGGTGTTGGTGGGCTGCTCTGGGTGAGAAGGGGAAGCACGAGTTTTTCAGTTACTCCAGGACAGGGTTGGGGGAGGGAGGGAGGCAGAGGGGGAGAAGAGAGCAGAAGTAGACCCAGGGAAAGGGGGAAAGTGGCATTGTGTAAGACGTGATTTCTCCCCATGAGCCCTCAAATCCTCTGCAAAGACATGAACACACAGATAGCCTTTTCAATGTGACAGCCACATGCTTTTCACACAGAAACCATTTATTCTTCAGAACAACCCTATGGGGTAGCTGCTATTATTATCCCCTCTTTATAGATAAAGGAATGGAGGCCCAGAGCAGCTGAGTGATGAAGCGAGACAGCTTTGCTAGAAGCATAGGTGGAGGGCTCCACTGAGGAGGAGATACTGAAGACAGAACTTGAAGGAGCCAAGGGTCAGAGCAATGGTAATCCTAAGAAAAGGCCTGACATTCCGATGCGTCACAGGGTGCTATTCAAGGGCCTAATCTAGTCTGGGGTGGGGTCTGAGAAAGTCTCCTTGAGAAAATCACCACGTTTACCCTGAGGCACAAAGTAGAATCTGGCCAGGTGCAGGATGGGGCTCTATGGAGTTGGGAGAGTGGAGAGAAGCAAAAGAGAAGAGGTGTCTTCTAAGCAGAGAGAAGAGCAGGTGGAAACTGCCTGAGGCAGGAAGGTACTCAAGGTACTAGGGAACTCGGGGGAGCTGGTGCCAGTGATGTGGGGGAGGTGACGTTGTAGTAACAGGACCACTGCAGGACAGCAAAGGATTTGGAGCTTTCTTCTAGGCTCAGGGTACTGGTGGCCAGCCTGCAGGAGTCATTGAAGGTTTTCTTTTGTTTTGTTTTGTTTTTACAGAAAGGCAGGATGATTAGGGCTGCATTCTGTGAGGATCCCCATGGCAGCAGGAGATTCAGGACAGACAGGAAAGGCGAGGGATGAGGAATGACAAAGCGTTTGGTGAATGCTGTGGAACAGAGACAAAGGTTTGGATTCCCAAGGTGCCCCTGGGGAATGATGATCAGTGTGGAGCCTGCGGGCAAGAACATTTCTGCCTGGCTCCCTGGAGAAAGGTCGAGGTGAGAGAAAGACAATTGGATGCCATTCATAGGAGGCGATATATGAGCTGTGGCGCAGCTGAGATTCTGCAGAGTTCAGAGAGAAAAGAATAGCGGAGGGATCAAACCTGGAGGCTGACAATTCACAGAGTAGAGGCCATGGATATGACTTATTTATTGGGTGAGTCATCAACATTTATGAGCCAGGAGACTTCACCATTGTTCCTTAACAGGGACAGTATCCTGGAGCTACACAGTGGCTGGCTCCTGTAGGGGAGGTACCATTTATTTCTAGTGTATTCCACTTTATTCACCAAGGGCTGTTTTAGAGAAAACAGATTTATTGAAAGGCTGAAGCAGAAACCAACTTTCAGGGGGTCTCAGGAGGGGAAGAGTGAGTGGGAGTTGAGGCTGCAAGCATAGAGTCTTCTGTTTACGAGCTCAGAGGTAGAGAGGATTAAGTAGATACCTGGAAGCCGCTGCTAAGGCTCAGGCACTATGCACTTTACCAAGGGGACTTTAAGAGAATGAGGACACAGCGCCTGTCCTTGGGCAGTTTCCTATTAGTGCAGAAACCAGCACAGTTGCATCACTGCAGGGTAAGGCTCTCTAATGGAGAAACACCACTAGTGAGACAAAGTCCTGGGCATCCCAAAGAAGGGGTGGCTTCAATCAGCCTCTCCACCCCACTGTATTAGCAAACTGAGGATATCTAGCAGTTAAATATGTGTTGTTAGAGGTAGTCACCTCTAAAGCATCTTCTATAGAAAATATTAAGTTGAAAAGTACCAGGAGTCATAGTATTTTTCAGAGCAGCAGTAGTCATGTTTCACAATCTTACATGATTCTCGGTATTTCGTCTTTCTTGCAATAGGCCAGCTTTTTATAAATCTCACCAGAAAGTTAGGCAGATGAGTATACATCAGTTATCTGCATTCTGTGGGTCTGCCCAGAAAGACCACCACCTTACCCTTGTAATTTTGCCTTTCTTTGAAGCTACTCTTAGGTGGCTTCAAATGGTGATTTAAAATGTTAAGTGTTTAGCCTTTTTTCTTTATGGCCCCATGCTTTTGGTCTTTACCCTTTGAGATCATTACTCAGAAGAAAGAAGGTCAGGACTGAGACTAAGATTGGAGAGTCATCCAGATGGAATTGATGTTGAAGCCACATGTGACAATGAGTTGACTCAGGATCAGAGTAAGGAGAGAATGAGAGGAGGGTCAGGACAGAACCGTGAGTACTGCCTACATTCGGGAGTGTGATTACTCTACATCGGTGTCCAAAGTCAAAAGTCCGTGAGAACTGCCTCCATTAGGTAGTGTGATTACTCTACATCAGCGTCCAATGTCAAAGCTCAGGCAAGAGCACTTAGGAAGAAAAGGGGGAGGGTCACCCAGGAGCTGTGTGTTGGGATGGTAGTGGCTACCAGATTGGAAGGATGCCTTTTCCAGGCAACGAGGGAGATACCTATCCTATGAGTTAGGGGGTCCAGAAGATATTGTAAATTTTAATTGTCAAACAAAGTATGGGTTTAGATATTTTTCTTTTATAGTAACATAGGCCCTATGTGCCCTATGTTACGCTGTGACTACTTGCTAATTTACATGTGCAATGACTGGAAGAAAAGCAGCAACTATAAGAAACAGATTTATAGCCCTTCCTCTCTGTTTTGTTTTGTACTTTAATTTTTACACTAGAAAGTATGAGACTTTGAGAATGGTTTCATCCTTAAACCTTGTGGCAGTTTGTTAAGCTTCATCCATTAATACAAAGTCCCAGACATTTGGCAGGTGATCATGGTGTACTGTTGCCTAAAGGACACAGTGACTTACCTGCTGCAGCCTCCTTGTTTGGAAATAACTTGTTGTCAACTGCCATGCTGATGTCATAGAACACCTCATCCTCATCACGGTCAGCATCAAACTGGGGGAAACGAGGACAGACAAGTTTGGAATGTGAGAATACACAAATTAGTTAATTCAAAAATATAATGAGCATCCATCACACAACTGTATCTCTAAGGAAGCAGAACAAGAGGAATTAAAGCATTTGAGTCTTTAATCAGACATTTAGAGGGTTTTAAAAGCCCAGACCTCCTATTGAACAGAGAAGAATATTAAGGGGTAAATGTACAGTCACTTATGGTTTAAAAAATGTGTAATATTTTCTTAATGTATGGAGCACATTTTAGAAAAAATAACTGAAATTTACCTTGTGGCTTTCTGACTTCATTTTTCTAATTTGAAAAATATGAAAATATATAGTTCTTAAACAGTAAGAGGAAAGATGTTCTAACCTTATTGTTAAAAAAACACACACACAAAGAGGCTGGGTGCAGTGACTCACACCTGTAATCCTAGCACTTTGGGAGGCCGAGGTAGGTGGATTGCTTGAGGCCAGGAGTTCAAGACCAGCCTGGCTAACATGGCTAAACCCCATCTCTACTAAAAATACAAAAAAATTAGCTGGGCATGGTGGCATATGCCTGTAGTCCCAGCTATCCAGGAGGCTGAAGCCCAAGAATCACTTTAACCCGAGAGGCAGAAGTTGTAGTGAGCCAAGATGGCACTGCTGAATTCCAGCCTGGGGGACAGACTGAGACTCTGTCTCCAAAAACAACAACAACAAGAAGAACAAGAACAACAACACCTACAAAACAAATTTCAGATGCTATATTAGATACAATATTATAGATGTAGTCTACAGCTTCTATAGCTTTAGACATAAAAAAAATTATAGATTTAAATATTTTACCATTCTCTAAAATTTACATTTTAAATATTTTAAAATAAGTTGTATTTACAAATTCTCTATTTTCCAAGTTTTTCAGTGGTTTGTTAACACATTTTTCTCTCTTTAATTTTTAAAAGTAGCTTTACTATGACAAAAACAAGCAATGGGTTAAAGACTTCCTATTCAATAAATAGTGCTGGGATAACTGGTTAGCCATATGCGGAAGATTGAAGCTGAATCCCTTCCTCACATCATATATAAAAATGAACTCAAGATGGATTAAAGACTTAGATGTAAAACCCAAAACTATAAAATTCCTGGAAGACAACCTAGGCAATACTATCCTGGACATAGGAACAAGCAAAGATTTCATGACAAAGATACCAAAAGCAATTGCAACAACAGCAAAAATTGACAAGTGGGATCTAATTAAAGTTGAGAGCTTCTGCACTGCTATAGAAACTACCAACAAATAGAGAATCTACAGAATGGGAGAAAATATTTGCAAACTATGTATCTGACAAAGGTCTACTACCCAGCATCTTACAAAGAACTTGAATTTACAAGAGTAAAACACACACCCCTATTAAAAATTGGGAAAAGGACATGAACAGACACGTCTCAAAAGAAGACACACATGCAGCCAACAAGCATATGAAAGAAAGTTCAATATCACTGATCATTAGAGAAATGCAAATCAAAATCATAATAAGCTACCATCTCACACCAGTCAGAATGACTATTATTGAAGAGTAAAAAAATAACAGATGCTGGTGAGGTTGTGGAGAAAAGGGAATACTTATGCACTGTTGGTAGGAGTGTAAATTAGTTCAACCATTGTGGAAAGCAGTATGGCAATTCCTCAAAGAGTAAAAGCAGAGCTATCATTTGACCCAGCAATCCCATTACTGGGTGTATACCCGGAGAAGTGTAAGTCGTTCTCCCGTAAAGACACATGCACGTGGACGTTCATTGCAGCACTATTCACAATAGCAAAGACATAAAATCAACCTAAATGCCCATCAATGACAGACTGGAAAAAGAAAATGTGGTACATATACACCACAGGATACTATGGAGCCATAAAAAGGAATAAAATCATGTCTTTTGTGGGAACATGGATGGAACTGGAGGTTATTATTCTTAGCAAACTAATGCAGAAACAGAAAAACAAATGCCACATGTCCTCACTTCTAAGTGGGAGCTAAATGATAAGAACTTATGAACACAAATAAGGAAACAATGGACACTGGGGTTTACTTGAGGGGGAATGGGGGAGAGAGACAGAGAAGCAGAAAAGACAACTATTGGGTACTGGGTTTAATACCTGGGTGATGAAATAATATGTACAGCAAACCCCCTTGACATGTGTTTACCTATGTAACAAACCTTTACATGTGCTCCCAAACAAAAAATTAAAATTAAAAAAAGAAAAAAATAGATAAAATCACAAACAAAAATAAAAACAGCTTTACTGAGTTCTAAGTGATATACAATGAACTGCACATATTTAAAGTATGGTGATTATAACTTTTAAAAATTGACAAGTTGAATTTAATTAAACTAAAGAGCTTTTGCATAGCAAAAGAAACTGTCAACAGTGTAAACATACAAGCTACAGAATGAGAGAATATATTTACAAACTACGCATCCAACAAAGGTCTAATATCCAGAATTTATAAGAAACTTAAACAATTCAACAAGCAAAAAAACAACCCCATTTAAAAGTGGGCAAAAGACATAAATGCTACTCAGAAAAAGACTTATGAGTGGCCAAAAAACATGAAAAAATGCTCCACATCACTAATCATCAGAGAAATGCAAATCAAAACCACAATGAGATGCCATCTCACACCAGTCAGAAGGCGATTACTAAAAAGTCAAAAAAAGATAGATGCTGGAGAGGCTACAGAGAAAAGGAAACATTTTTACTGTTTGTGGGAGTACAAATTAGTTCAGTCATTGTGGAAAGCAGTTTGGAGATTTCTTAAAGAACTTAAAACAGAACTACCGTTTGACCCAGGAATTCCATTACTGTGTATATACATCAAAAGAAAATAAATCATTCTACCAAAAAGAAAAATGCACTCATATGTTCAATTACAGCACTATTCACAATAGCAAAGACATGGAATCAACCTGGGTCCCCATCAGTGGAAGACTGGATAAAGAAAATGTGCTCCATATACACCATGGAATAAGACACAGCCATAAAAAAGAATGAAATCACGTCCTTTGCAGCAACATGGACTAGAGGTCATTATACTAAGTGAAGTAGCACAGGAACAGAAAACCGAATACCACATGTTCTCATTTGTAAGTGGAAGCTAAACTCTGGGTACACAGGGAGAAAATGACAGGAACAACAGACACTGGGACTACTAGAGAGTGAAGGGAAAGAGGGGGACAAGGTCTGAAAAACTACCTATTGGGTACTGTATTCACTACTTGGGTGATGGGGTCAATCATACTCTAAACCTCAGCAGCATGCAACATACCCAGGTAACAAATCTGCACATGTACCCTCAAATAAAAATAAAAGTTGAAATTATATTTAGAAAAACAAATAAGTTTTGACATATGTATACACCCATGAAATCATCATAAAAATAAAAATAGTTAACATGCCCATCACCCCCAAGCACTCCTTATGCCCCTCTGGAATCCCTTCTCCTCTCCTCAGGTAACCATTTATCTGCTTTCTGTAACTACAGATTATTTTGCATTTTCCAGGTTTTACATAAAATAATACAGTATGTAATCTTTTTTTGCCTGGGTTCTTTCACTCAGCACTATTATTTTGAGATTCATTAATGTTGTTATATTCATAGTTCATTCCTTTTCATTACTCATTAGTGTTCCATTGTGTGGATATATTGTTAAACCCATCCTAGATATCTTTCAACTCAGGCATTGTAGTTTTCAACTCTAAATGTTTGACTTGAGCCTTTAAAAAAATTTCCATGTCTCTATTTAAGCTTTTGAACATCTGAAATATAATTAGTTACTTTTAATGTCTTTCTCTGTTAATTCTAACATTTGAGTCAGTTCTGAGTCAGTTTCAGTTGATTTTTTTTTTTTTTTTTACTTCATTATGGGTATATTTTCCTGTTTCTTTGTATGCCGGGTAATTTTTTACTGGATGCCAGACACTGACAATTTGACCTTGTTGGGTGCTGGATATTTTTGTATTTCTATAAATATTCTGGAATGTAGTTTAGTTACTTGAAAACAATTTCATCTTTCAGGTCTTGCTTTTAAGATTCGTTAGTTTGGATCAGAGCAATGTTCAGTTTAGGACTAATTATTCCCCACTGTTGAGCAAAGCCTCTCTCCAATGTTTTGTGAATTATGAAGTTTTCCAGTCTATCTGAAGGACACTGGCAGTATTCCAAGCCTGGTGTGAGCACCAGGTACTGTTTCCTCTAATCTTTTAAGATGGCTTTTTTCTCAGCATCAGGCAATTTCCTCATGTGGATGCATAAGAGCTGGGATTTGAACTTGGGATGACTGACGCTTTCCATCCTACCAGGTGGCATAAGATCATTGTACTAAGACAAAGGCAGCCATTCTACTCCAGTAAGTGTTTTTTCTAAAAGCAAGGGGAAAAAAACCAGGCAGTCACTAGAACAGATACAAGGTGGCCGCTGAATATCTGATTAGGCCCTCTGCATATTTCCAGAGTTATCTGTGCATCTCTCTCATCTCAGATACTTTTGTCCTGCAAACTCTAGCCACCTTGATTTCTTGGATTCTCAGCTCCATCTCCGCAACTCATGGAATCCACTAGTCTCCAAAGGGTTTCGTTTTTCCTGCACTGTTGCCTGAAAACATCTCCAGGCTCTGCAGGGCTCACTGCATTTGTTTCCCTTCTTCTACCAGGGACCACTTCATTGCTTGATGCCCAGTGTCTTGTAAATTGTTTTCTTAAGAAGGTTTTCTTCCGTTTATTTATTTGTTTCATGTGGGAAAGAAAAATCAAGTCTTTTTCATTCCAACTTGGTAAGAGTCTCAACACTGTAGCTTTTACTTTTGTTTTTTTTTTTTTTGTTTTGTTTTGTTTTTTTTGAGATAGAGTCTCATTCTGTGGGCCGGGCTGGAGTGCAGTGGCATGATTTCGGCTCACTGCAACCTCTGTCTCCTGGGCTCAAGCAATTCTCCTGCCTCAGCCTCCCAAGTAGGTGGGATTA